CAAGATAGTCTTTAATTTAACCAAGTCTAAAAATAAGCCTTTAATACCTGCTAATTTACAATCACACCTGGGAGCAAGCGCGGGGCTATTAGGGTCAGGAAAAGGAGCTCCCTTCTCCCTTCAGGATTTCCCACACACTAGCTGACCTCTGCGACCCCCTCCGCAAGGAGAAAGTCATTCTGCAAATGACCAAATTCTCGCTTTTGACACAATGAGCAGATTTCACCCCACGGCTTTTGCTCCCACCGCAGCACAGGGAATTTCTGGCTTCCCAGATATGCAGCTAGCGTGGTAGTCAGGGAGAGACAGGACTGTGCCATGGGGTTCCCGGCAGCGTGTACTCTTGGGCCATGGGTGTCTCCAGTGCTGGCAGCATCACTGGCTGGTGGTACACGCCTGGGTGATGCCACCCATAGACAATAGGACAGGTAGAGAAAGACCCTGCCCAACTGATCTGGTTGCTGCGTCTGACCTAGTTTGTGCTCTGCCCACCCAGCTACAAATCCAGATCAAGTCTCCAGTAAGATGCCTTGAGATAACGATGAAAATACCTCACTTAAAACAAAAAGGAGCTGCCCTGAAAATGCAACTGATAGCAAGCTGAGGCGTGGCTCCCATATGCTTATTCATGACCTTTGCTGAGGGAGCTGGGCTTGTTCAGCCTGAAGAAGAGAAGGCTGTGAGGGGACCTTAGAAATGCCTATAAATATCTTGAGGGTGGGTGTCAGGAGGATGGGGCCAGACTCTTTTCAGTGGTGCCCAGCGACAGGACAAGGGGCAACGGGCACAAACTGAAGCATGGGAAGTTCTGTCTGAACATGAGGAAGAACTTCTTCACTCTGAGGGTGATGGAGCACTGGAACAGGTTGCCCAGGGAGGTTGTGGAGTCTCCTTCTCTGGGGATATTCAAGACCCACCTGGACAAGGTCCTGTGCAGCCTGCTGTAGGTGACCCTGCTTCGGCAGGGGGGGGGGGGGCAGGGTGCCCCAGAGGGGCCCCCCAACCCCTAACACTCTGTGATTCTGTGATTATTTGGACTGATTTCTTTATATTTTGAGTTTCTTTTCATAACAGGAACCGGAATACTCACTGTGGCTAAGTAAGGCACAGTTCTGCTAAATGGGGAACTACCTGTCCTTATATACCTTTTCTCCACCATAAGCTCTGGCAGTTACATGAGAAATTTGTCTCTCTACCTGAAACTGCTCTTTCTTGTACTTAGCCCTCTCTTTGAAAGGAGACATTAACTATCCTGCTTCTCATAGTGACCAGATAATGTGCAGTTGTGCCCTGGACTATTCAGCTAATATGGAGGAATATACTAGTAATAAATACATGTGAAGTAGCCCTATATAATTTTGATTTGTCAGCACCTTTCTTCTACACCTGCTTCCTGGTACCGTGTTTAGAGATACTAGTAAGCACGCAATGCAAGGCAAGCTATATTTTGCTTGCTGTGCCACCCCAGTATGCAATGTTGAAACATTTGCTGTTTAAAAATTTTGAATTTCAAAACTGTTAAGTTGAACAATCTCCATTTCCACTACAAAGTCTACTGTAGATGAAGGTATGTTCAGGAAAAGGAGCACTTTCACATTCAAATTAAGGCACAGGACTCTTACAGATCAAAGTAGGCCTGACCATTTAGATTACTTTTTGGTGGAATTTCAAAAAATTAACATGTGAAGAAAAGAATGCAAACAATGTGTAAGCTATGTCATAGAGTATCATAGTAAATAATATTTTTATAACTGAATCAAACTCACAGAGAAATGAAGACTCATTATTTGGATTTTTCAGAGAATCTTACTGTTGGATAACAAACAAAAAGTGAATAGTAAAGTAATTTATACAATTGCAGCAAGTTGTTTAGTCAGGTGCTGCAGGACCATTGTTAGGACTTGTTATACAGGCATTTAACATTTTCATTAATAATCTGAAAGAGAGGGTTCGTAACATGTTAATTAAATGAAGAGATAATTCTAAATTAAAAGAAGTCACAAAGCATCAATGAGGACTGAGACATACTGTAACAGGACTGAAAAGGTTAGAAAAATAAGAAAGAGAAAATGAAATTCAAACTTGCGAATGTACAATCAGAGGTATCTTAATACGAACTGCCCTATACAGGAGAGAACTGAGTGGAAAAAAAGCAAAACAATAACACAAGGAATAAGTGAACTCAATATTGGTTGGCATGTCAAGCAGAAGGTGCGAAGACTACTGTGATTCTGGGCTGCCTGTGAAGAAACCTGTCCCTTGGAGAGCTTACAGCAACTTTTAGGAGCTCAAGGATGGAAGGTGTCTCAGGCCTTCATTTATGTGGGAAGAATTCAGAAGGTTGCACCCAAGATCAGGCAAGTAGCAAGTGAGGTTGTGCTTAAAAAAGTACATGTATTAGAAGAATATAAAGACCAGAAGAAAGCTAAGACTGGAAATTTGAATCTGGTAGAAAGTCTTCAGTGACAAAAAGAACTTACGTGAACTGGAATACTTAAAGCAATGGTTCAGTATACCGCTAGACAAGGTAGTACAAACATACTTCTATCAGGCCCAAGGATCAATGCAGCATAGCTTTTCTATCTCCTATATATTTTCTATTATTTCATCTAACAGTTAAGGCAGTAACATCCATTTAACATGAGCAGAGCTTATTCCTAAATCGCACCAGAGTGAGTAAGATACAATGGTGCAGTGAAATCTAAGCACACTGTAATACGAAATTAATGCATCCCAGTGCTTAGAGTTTTCCTGCTCTGACTGCAAGACTGCGGCTTTATAGATGGTCCAACAATCCACTGTAGCATTAAGAGGAATTTTCTGTCTGTTTTCAAACACTCAGAATATCATTTGCCTCTGCACTAATCCCAGTACTTTACGATACATCTCTTCCATTTTTTTCAGTTGAGTCAGCTGATCCATTACACTATATTATCTCTCACTAAAACCCTTACCTCTCTGCTGTAGGCGCCACAAATGACATACAGCAGTACTCGGTTAAAATTCTCGCAATTTAGAAGCCTCACTTCCAATTTCTAAAGGAAGAGAGGTAAATATCAAAACCTGAATTTTGTTGTCAGCTCAGAGACAGACTCTTTGTCTTGTTCTGTTCCCAGTGCTTTTGGTCTTCCCTGCTTTGTGTGCTCCAGAAGGGAAGCACTGGCCAGATGACACACAGGAAACGTGATGTGGGTTTAGTGCTGCCTGGTTTAGGGCTAGAAGACTTAAAAATGGGTGAAAATTTAAGAATTATGAATTATTTCTATTCTAAGCGATCCTGCAAGAGATTGAATTTAAATGATTCTCTAAAGCTCCGTGAGTCAAAAGTTTGCATTGACTTCAGGGGGATCCTTTAGCCGCTAAGGATATAGTCCTGTTGCCATATTCTCTCTTTGAGCTCGCCTCTGTAACTGAGCACGAATGCTATTTCATAGACTATCAGAATCGTCATATTTCTGGTACCTGCTCTGAGTGTCTTTGGGAACATTTCCCTTTGGTACAGGGTGCTGCAGGGAAACAGCTCTTACGCATATTGAAATTGTCTCTCAGCTAGTTTGGAGTACTGCAGTACTGCACTGGCACAAGCCACATGTGAGTGATATTCATAGGGCCACAAGAGCCAAGAGGGAAGTTGGAGACAATGTCCCCCACTGATCCCATGTACTGCTGTGCTATGGGTGTAAGACTTCACTGGAGACCAGCCTAGACCAAACAAGATAACAAAACGTGTCCTGCTAAAGAGCGTGGCAGAAAAGCATAACTTCCTTCTGCGCAATTTGAAACTCAAGCACACAATTTTTTACACAGCTTCCTGCATGTGAGCATCCATGGCTAAAAAACATGCTACAGATTCTAGCTGCGCCTTCATTTTCGTATCAGACAGTAACTACTAGATACATTCTTTCTGCAATACACATTGAGTGCATGGCACACCTCCAGGGCCCTCAGTAGGTCTGAGTACACACATACATTTACACATCTCAGCGTACATCCATGAGGCAGCAAGGCCAGGCCAGAACTATAGAGGGTTTTTATGATGTGACATTAATTAATTTGTTATGAGTGCTCTTGAATAACATCTTTTTTCCCCTTCTTTTTTCTTTTTAATTAAATTCCATTAACCAAGTGTTACCCTTTGATTATATTCTCAACCACAACTGACTCAGCATACTTCACTTCCTGAGGTGGGAAGTACCTAATTAGGACCCCAATCTTCTTTCATGTTATTTCTTCATAATAGAAGTAGTACTTCCAGTTGCATTGGAGAGATACCACTAGAGGCGTTAGGCGAGAAGAAATCTTCCTTAGAGAAGAATCACTGTTAGCCATTGCTTTTCAAACTGTCTTATTTCACAGAGAGGTCCCTTTGCTACGCTCCAAAGAAGAAATCAAGGGACAGGTTCTCCAAGGCATTCAAGGAGAGGAGCAGGGGTATCACTCAATTACATTCAGAGTTTGTGCACCTCACAAATTCAGTGAACTTGCTCTGCATGTATATCCATGCAGCATAAGTAGCAAGCTGGTGATTTTTGACAGTAAATACCCATATACCTTGAATTAGCTGCCATGGGGATTCTGGGTGTTGACAAGAATATGGATGGCTGGCTGAAGAGATCATTTAACCTTACTAGTAATGAGCTCATTTGAAACAAGCTCCCTGCTACTAATTATCACTTGGTTCTGATTGATTCATCACCTGCTTTGGTGCTCCTATTTCATAAACAGAACATGAACTGCTGAGTTTAAGAAGCTGTGTATTATGACGATTTTGGTAAAAACAGAACTGCCTCAATATTGTGTCAATTACTGCTAGACTCATTTTCTTTCCTTTACTCCCTGTATGTGTGTGCACATATACATGTGTGAACATGTAATTATTGTGTGTCTGTGTATGGAATGGTTATATCTTATTTTAATAAACGCAATATTGCAATCTAGCTTATATATATATATATCTATATATGCACACTTTACACTAGAGAAATAAGAATTTTCCTTACCTATTTCAGTCATGGATATCCCCGGAGCTAACTGCCCATTGTTGAAAGAGCTATAGGTAAACAAGTTTGGTACAGAGGTGAGGTCATAGAGAGGTTCCTGCTTTATCTGTTTGATTCCAGTCATGTCTAACCCAGACTGGTCTGGGGAAGGCTGGGCAGAATCCACGTTATAATAACCCTCAGACTTCGGCAGGTCTATGACATGCCCATTGGAGTAGGTGCTGCCAGTTTCGTTATTCAGGTTGCTCAAGCCATTGCTGATGCTGTTGCTGTAAACCCTGGCGAGGGCTTCTGCCTCACCGCTCTGCTGCTGCCGTTGCTCCTGCAGTCGCTGCTGGTGCTTCTGCACTTCAGCGTACAAGCTATCCCTCTGCTTTTTGGACATTCTTCCAAACTTCACAGCTGAAAAGCAAAGCACAATGCAAACCATTGTCTTCTTCCATCTTTTTCTTCATTCCCCTCAAACCCACCACTTTTTGATATTTACTTTCAGCATTACTTTTGCTGTGAAAACTTGTCATTTTCTGTTGAAATGAGAGGGATGCAAAGCTTTGTACCATATGCATCTTAGAAAGGAAAATGTATTGTCTACCTGGATTTACAAGGTGACGACAATGATTCCTGTTTGACAGGAGGGCCTCAGTCAAGCAACTCACTTCCTGCTGTGAATGTTAGAAAGACCATATATCCTTTTACGTTTTTGTGTTCACTGAACAACAACCCAGAGCTGTATGAAATGTACAGTCTGCACACTGACAGCCCATGTGATTCACCAACTTTTCACAAACCTTTAAACAGTGCACTAACAGGATTAGTACTCTGGATGAAAACAAGCCCCAAAGCCTTATTATCGCATCCTTTCAATGGGGTGTTATCTTCACACTTTTTTAAAAAAATCTTACAGGTTAGAGTTAGAACCTAGAGGAAAACAACAGATCTGAAGGTAGACAGCACAAATGAATGTCATCTTTTCTACAGAGGAAAGTCTCAGGGATTTACACAATTAATTTACATAATCTCCATGCACAAATCCATGCATTCCTTCTGATGAGAGAGGGATGAAAACACCAGAGTGCAACCCACTCTCCGCAGCAGCAGGGTTCATCACACCGAGATTGAGATTTTCAAAAATGACAGGCTGATTACTGTGGAACTAAGAGGAGTAAATCCACAGCCTGCATGTACAGTGGGTCATATCTGATTATCTCCCCCCCCTTCCCCCCCATCCCATCTCTCTATAAAAATCTGGCTTTCTACTGGGCTAGATCTTGGGATCTCAGAGCAGAGGTAGTTGCTAATTGTGTTCTCAAACAAATGAGGGATACATTCAGCAGAACTTATCAGAGCACAGATAAGAGCACATTGCTCTAGAAATACCGATTTCTACATATTATGAGGTGTATTTTCCAATGCTGAGTCTTTCCAGTCCATCTGTAATTGGGATCAATTCAGAATCATCACATATATTACCACAAGATCGTCTTGGCTCTCATGTTTGTTACCCTGTAGGTAAGCTATAGCCCTTGAGAAGAGTCTGAGCCTACACATGTAGAGGAATGTGAAACTCTACAGTCAAGAAAAAGAACAGAAAGCAAAAGCGTAGTACGAAAAGGCAGTGCCACAACACCAAGTAGATGGCAGCCGCTTCAATTTATTTGCACTTTTTTACACTAAGACCTTTTTTCATTGTTGCCAATTTCAGCTTACTTGCAACGCTTCACACAGGCTGCAAGCTGCCTCACGCGAACACAGCCTGCCACTGGAATCAGTTCACGGTGCACTGCACACCCTTATGGACAACATACAATGACTGTATTTTGAAAAATGCAACTGTGTATTTTCTTCAAATTTAGAGCCTCAGTAATAAACACAAACACCCACTGTTTATTCTCATTATATATTCATTAATTGGATTCTCCAGCTGCTGTCAATTAGCATCCTGCCTCTGCATGATAAAAATGAATCTGTTACATGGCTGAGAGGTAAAAATCACATTCAATTCCTCTGTTAAAAAAATTCATACAACCTATTTTAAACTTGCAAGAGCTCTTAACATTGTTAAGTATAAACACCCTTATATAAACAATGAGAGAAGAAAGAGATGCTTTCAGAAGCATCACTCCCTTTGTCTGTACGCAGTGGTCCCTGAATCATAGGCTGGGAAGACAGTGCTGCCAGTCACACTAATGTGATACCTCAAATCATTGGAAGACATTACTTTTAGGAGGAAAGCATGTGCTGTTAAATTACTGAAATGTTACTACTTTAATCTCCTCCAGGAAGAACCGGGAACTAAGACATCAAGTAAGCTGTGTGCTAGGACCAGAAAGAGTTAGTGGTTTGAAGGCTAGACTGCAAGACCCCTCCCAGAGTGGTAAGGCTGTTAAGCAAGTGGTTTCAGTGAGACATGAGACACACTGATGTAGGAAAAGACCTATTACAGTCCAAATTTAAAACAAGTTTATAATCTGTGGACCATCTACAGAAATAGCTCTTCAAGTAACTTCATCAATGACTGTTTATTTCAAATGACACATTTTGTGTAAACTTTCTAATACAGAAAACTGCTGCCAGGCAATCAAAATTAATATAACTTGCCTTCAAAAACAGGCCATTTTATTCTTACTTCCTGACCATTTAAAACACGTCTGTAAGCTGGAAATGCCCTGCCTGAGCAGTGGTGGCTGGGCCAGGGTGGCTATGGGCAGCCTTGCCCAAGCTTCCCACTGCCCGCAGCTCTGGTGTGGTGCACGTTCTCAGCCTGTTGATCATGGCTCATTACACCACAGCTTAGAAGGTGGACCAGAGCTCTGCAAGGACCAAAGGGTCCTACTATCAGACACACTATGGAGCTTTCCTCTGGCGTAGTGTCCATTTTCAGTGCTGAACGATGAAATGTTTCTTTTGTAGAATCAGACAGGTACAGGGGGCAATGTACAAGTAAAAGAAATGTTTTTTTAACCATGCGAAATATTTGGTCAAGTGCTCTATATAAAACAAACTGAAGCCCCTAATGCTATCAAGGTGTAAATTTCTTCTTAACTGCCTGTTTACTGTCACAGACCTTTAGAGGTCCCAAGGAAAGGGATGTCTTCACACATCAATATTTAATGTTAAGATAAATGTTAATGTTTAATACAAGAGGTTATTAAACTGGAATATAAACCCACCTTTCCAGAGGTAACCTTTTTGTGCTTTTGATTCGAACAACACATGTCGCTTCTGACTCTGTTTCAAACTAATACTGCTATCTATTTTGTGATTTCCCCAACTTCCTGATGAAAATAGCCTCCTTTGTTAGCTGAATGGCAAAGACCTGTGTCTCACAGTGCATGCATTACAAAGCAAGGAGCCTCTCTCTCTTTTTCCAGAAGTCTACAGGGAGTTTAAGTAAGTCAGCAGTGAAGAAGAATTTAAAAGGGTTTAGGAGTGAATCAGGAATCTGACTCCTTACCATCTCGAGACATTCCCAGGGCAAGACATTTCTGCAGTCGGCAGTGTTGGCAACGATTTCTGTTGGTTCTGTCAATTAAACAGTTTCTCTGCCTTGGGCAGGAGTAGGAGGCATTGTTCTGCTGACTCCTCCGAAAGAATCCCTAGGGGCAAGAAAGCAAGAGAGATGGAGTATTACCATGTGCATATATGTGCACACACACAAACACACAGAGAGCCATGTAAATGACTACATTAAACACCTATTTAGTGGAATGTTGCTTATGCTATGGCTTTGCAGATATGTTGGCCTTCTATAGTGAAATTAAAGAACACTTACCTACAGTAAAGGGAAGCGAGCTTTAATCTATAAAGAATGTAATTCTACTTTGTTAAAACACAAACAATAATGTTACAGAATGTATTCTTCTTGTGCAATAATACCATGTATCATCTAACACTTGCACCTAATAGAGGAAAAGCTTGTCAGCATTCGTAAACAGATGACTTGTTCTGATTATTTTCTTCCTTTAACAGAAGAGACTGGTAATAACCAGCACTGGCTATGCATAGCATCAGAAGCTGAATTCTGCTGTTCAATTTAACCTGGCAATGTTGATCTGATCTGGAGGGACTACACGCTTCAGGAGTGAAAAGTAATTCAAATTCTAGCATCACAAAAGCACTAGGATTTAATGACTGTATCAAGTAAAGCCAACACACAAAGAAGAAAGCAACACCTTTAGATGCTACCATGAGAAAGTAACGACATTTCCCATTTCAATGGAATATAGCATTATCCATTTTATCTATGTAAAAATTGTAGTTATTCTATCTCCTAGAAGGTTTCTCTGGCCTGTTGTGGGGTATTTGGCTAAAGATCAGAGGGCTAGAAAGAGAGTATTAACCTATACCTAAGGCCGTGTGAGCTCCCAGCTGCTACAAATGACACCAAGAGGTACCATTATGGTAGAAGTGACATGAAATCGCAGAAGTGACAAAAGGAAAGAAAGCAGGGGGGAGGGTTCAAGAAAGAAAGAGAAAGGGAGAAGGCATTTCATTGTATTCTTTTCTTTCTTGTAAAATCAAGGACAGGAAGAACAGCAAGTCCAGAGAGAGAGAAACAAAGAAGTTCCTTGGCCACTTTGGCATCTTTAGACACAGGCAACACCAGGTTGTGCAGTGGGAGAGCTGAAGGACAGCCTAGCCACTGCAGGAAGCCATGAGGAGAAAAAGGGCAGAAAGCATCATTACTGAAGTTACACTAGTCACCAGAAGCGACGCCAAAGTGGTTGTGCCTTTCTGGGCTGGTTTGTAAACAGCTCTGGATGGAGCCAGAAAGAAAGGGCTGACATCATGTATCAGGCAAAACCGGTGTTACCTCCACACAGGTTGACAGACGGTAATACCGAGCAATGGAAATCGTGGCAGCTGGGCATTCTGGGGGAATGTGAGGAAGGAGGAAGGCGACTGTGTCACAGGGCTCAAATCGCCTGCTGCAGGTAGTGCCTGAAATCTCACTCCAGTCCTGGTGAACCCAGTTAGGAAGGTGTGGGGTGTCAGTAACAACAGGCAACAGGTGTGATGTCCCACCAAGGACACCGTCAGTGCTAGTTCCTGAGGCTGAGCATAAAGAGACTCACTGTGTCTGGCCCATGCTGATTTTATCAGTGATCATAGTATATCTAAAAACTAAATTAAGTTTCATGATTTGCACTTTTGAGAACATGGATGTCCTTTAGGGGAACTCTCAGAAAAAAAACGGTGGGGACTTACCTGATCCTGGATGATGAAAACTTTCCTGAAACTGTGGAAGTCAGTTTAATTTAAGGCTAAATGGATGCTAATTGCAGATATTTCTAGTCTATTTCCTGAACTTTAGAGCCAATTTTGTTTTTGACGTGCAAAGAATTTTCTGGTTTAAAGGTTTAGATTTTAGCAGCTCCTATGTGGACATGGATTTGAGAGAACAAATGAATTAAATAACATTTAAAAACCCCACACAACCATCTAGCATTGACTGTGCCGTGCCCTGTAGTTCTGTTTTTCCCCATTAAGTTGATCTCATCTCAGAAGAATTTGTTCACTCCTTCTTTGCCCCTCTTAGGAACAAATCAAGGGTTACATAATAAAGTTAATCTACAGCAGGTAATTTATTTTTTTGGAGAGACTTTTGTACTTTCTTTCTCCTGCATAAGATCTAAATGTCATCTTACAAAGTACAGACAATCCTTTCAATTCATTTTTAGGGGTTCTTTATATAATATTTGCTATATTTACTGAGAATAATTCTGTTTGGGGGAAGGAGGATGCCATTCATTACTGAGGAGCTACGGACTTAAAGACAGGTTTCCCAATATTCCCAAAACTAAAAACAAGTCTTTCTGTATCTTGAACGAGTCACTTTATCCATCACTGACTGTCAGTCTGAGGAGGTGAATGGTCATGCAAACTGCTGTCTTAATCATGACAGAAGAGTGGTAGCAAATATTTTGCTCTGGGGTAAAGCAGGAAAGATCACAAAAGGCTTCTCAGCAAAAGCAGGAACCACAGAGACAGACGGGATGGAAACCCATCTTCAGGGTTTACCCTTTCAGTGAGGATAGTGGCAGAGCCACCATTTTCTTCAGTGGGTCCACAGGTTATTCAGCTAATGCAGGCATGCACATGAAACAGCAGTAATATTTATGACAGCCCTTAAGCACTTACAATACGTGTTAGCAGCAGCATAGCTAATATAGGGACAGAGAGTTAAAGGATTTTCTGTCCGTTGAAGTTTGTAGCACCGCCACCGGCAGTACAATGCTCGGTTACTGGGTCCTGAAATGCTGCAGCTGTCTGGCGCCTGGCTCAATGTGTGTGCACGCTTGTGCAGCAGTTCTCGCCTCTTTCTGCCACATGTGGTCTCCCTCTTAATTAATTCAGATTTCTAGAGCATTCAGACAAAAGGAGCCAGAAATGACCAGTTATTAGTATGTGAGCTGAGCAAATAGTTAGTTAATTGCTGGGCAACGAAGAGCAGAGTTGCACTGCCTGAGACAGTGCTTACCTTAAAACAGAGCTCTGACAGATTGACATGCCTCCCACCGGACCCAGTGTGAAAACTGACATCTTTCTTCATAACAGGCTCACAAAACAAAATTAGACTAATTGATCTGATACTGCAAAACTGGCACAAAAACAATAGGGTTAAAACTGTGGTAAGTGGAGGAGAAGCTCTTTATCTCAATAAGCAGTCTACACACAGAGCTGAGGGGTATCATCTCCTCTCGAGGCACACAGACGGGCCAGTATTAACCCTAATCACATCTACAGGAGACTCTACCCTAACTGCTTTGTGGGCGCCAAATACCGAGACAGTATGCTGTTTTTCTGCTTGAAGTATTTTTCTCCTGCAGATTTTATGCCAATTTTGAAGTATCAGATCAATTAGTCTAATCCTGTTTCATGTGATCATCATACGAAGATGCTTATTTCTAGTCCAGTGTCACAATAAGACTGTGATATGCTGCGGGCTGTTCCATTTACAATTGTTAATGTTTCTGAAAGAAATCTGACCTTTGACAACATATTGCTTCTCAATATGTTGGCATTAAAATCTTTCTTTTGAGAATGCGCGTACTCAAATTTTCAGATTTTTCAGATGTTCTAAAATTTTTAAAGCATTAAGTAAACACAGACTTGTCATTTCACTCTACAAATATGCACCCACTTCCAAATATACCAGTTTGCTTGTTTCCACCTAAAAGAAATCAGAGATGCTGCCTCTCCATCTTTGCAATTTCACATTTACAGTCAAAGCCGAAATACCAACATATAGTATGAAATTCTGGTTTTCCATGAGTAATTCCTTAGCTAACAAAATCACAGAGTATATTTAAAGTTGAAAATGGAAGTCTTTCTTCTCTTGGCTTGGGATCTGATCTGTATTACTTGAACTAATGCCTGGGATAATTTATTAGTATGACTAAGCAGCATGGAAGGGTTTTTGCCTTTTTTTTTTCTTTTTTTGACTTCCAGTTCCCAGCAGTTGCCCTGTGCTGGAGCCTATAAGGAAGAAGATAAAGGATCCTTTTACACTACTCTTAATGTAAGGCATTTTTTTCTTTTGGAGATTACAATTCAGCCTACAGATAACACAAAGGGGATAAAATAGGACCAAACTGACACCTGTAAGCTTTTAAGATGTTGAATGGAGATACCACAACAACTTTTAATGCTACATGGATTATGTAGGAAACAAGATAAGAAATCCATCTCTCAAGCTGATTTAAGGTAGAACAGGTGTGACTTACAGTTGCCAGCCTCTGTATCAGCACTTATACTGCATCACATGCGATTAATTCATGTTTCAAACAAGGAGGTAACTCTAAAGACTGTTTGATGAAAAGGAAACCAACTAGTAAAATCAGGCATGAAATACATCTACATCAGCAGCAGGCTTTACAGCCTTTGGCACCACTTGTTTGAAAGCATTTAAGAATGTATTATTGCACACAGATGCCGGAGGCTAATGCAGATGCTGATGACTACGCTGTATTAAAATCTCATACCTTGCAGCCTTCACATGTGATGACTCCATAGTGTATTCCAGAGGACTTATCACCACAAATTTTGCATGGTATCACTTCAATTTGTGCTGAAAAAGAAAACAAGACAAATATTTTGAGGACAGAATTCTATTTCATCTTTTTCTTTCTCAAATGAAGATCTTAAAAACTAGAACTAGACAGCAGATAACCTGTTTACACCCCTGAAAATATAAAACTGCTTTGTATTGTACTGTGTGTTTCTGAATCCTTTGATTTGGCAAATTTTAACTGCTTTACATTATGTATTTTCTACCATACCCCCTAAAACTCTTCAGAAATTTAAGATATCTCACGACTAGCAAGTTTTTGCTCATATTCTCCTTTTTTTGTTTTTACTTGTTAATTTCATCATCATTATTACTAATGACAGTCATTAGAGGTTTGAAATAATTATCTAGATTGTTCTTGCTTACACATTTCAAATATTCATGACTTTTCATTTTGCTGATGTAGAATCACATGGTATATTTTGATCCATTTTTGGAAGCAGCAGAGGTGAAATTTTCAAATCCTTCAGATTATGGCTTCAAGGCACACAAAGATATCTATCCCACTGGAAGAGATGAGCTTACAAATCATTGCTTAACCTCTCCTTGTCTTCAAGCTGTTTGTTTCAGCACCAGGTTATAGGCAGGCAAGGGCCACAGAGTGAGTAGTAGCCAGTGGCTGTGTGCTGGGAGAGGCAGGTATTATCTGAAAATGTTTGAATATGGATATGCTTCAGATCCTTTTATAAACATAATGGTCCTTTAATTCAGAGAAGGAAAACATATTTCACTATCTTCCACACATTTTGTTTGCTAACACAGCCATTTTCTTCCCTCAACTACTTTGAAACCTGTGTGTGTTTCCTTTAGCAACACTATAAAAGTGCATGCTCTGAAATGTAGGGAAGGATTGTGCCTTTATTCTAGTCGGATGCATTGGGAGGAAATGGAAAAGCTATTTCCTTTCCCTTTCATTTGTTTTCCTATGTGGGATGCATGCCTTCCTGCAATTCTCCTGCTGCTTGACAGTAAGCATCATACTTGGTAAGAACCAGTACTGCTGGCAGATGTCTTCTGGGCAGCAGGGCAACAACAGCAGCAGTTCTCTGCAACACAAATCACTCATCAAATCCTTGGCAGCAAAGCTGAGAGCTTGTGTAGTAGGGCTACCCTGAGCACATGGTTTGCTAACCCTTAGTACTTTAAGTGGACACTTTCAACTCCTAAAGGGATTGGGAGACAAGGAAATAAGATTATTGTGCAGATGCTCTTCCTGAGAAGAGCATTCCATTTCAAACATGTGGGCAGTCAAAAAGGTTATAAATGCTGGAAAAAAAGTTAAAAATGACTGTGCATTGTAAGCTAAGAACTAAGTACGCATCTACAGTGGATGCTATGACAATGTAGTGATATAGTCTGATTTTTGCCCCATTTCTACCTGTGGTTACCACTTAGCACTCTTAGCAGAAGCTAAGAGTTTCGTAAGAGTTACCTTCCTATCACCATGTGATTAAACAACCAAAACTCAGAATTTTGTGCCCTAGCTCTCTACTTAGGGTAGAGGCTTAACAAGGTAAACTCCAGCAGATGAATGGTAACAGGCCCTCTTCTCCAAAACGTCAACTAACTATACTTTTGGGTTGTTGTATCCCAAACGGATAAGCGAAGAGGGATGTTCATGGATGGCTAAAGAGACTTTAGTTCCCCACTGTGAGCTCAGTTTTATGAGATGCTGTCTCAGATCAAGTACATTTTTAGGCAAAGCTCAGGCAGGCAAACCAGTTTTTAAAGCTCTCCTAATCCAGGATGGGTAGAATTAATTTCATTGTAGGAAAGAGCAATTTGTTGTAAATATGTTCTGCATGGAGACATCCTAGAACCAAACACTTGCCTGTCTTTGTACTTAAGAAAGTTCATATCTAGCAATAAAATTTCGTGTGTCATGCACAATTTTTGGGTTAGCTTCTGTACCCCATTCTGTTTTCATGAACTAAGTGGTGGTAGTTTCTTTCACTTCTTAAGAAACTATTGCTCATTAGCCATCCTAGCACGATAGACACATAAAATAGAAGGCAATTCCTTACAGAAAAGCATCTTCAGTTTCTTGGCGATTTTGCCAGGTTGATCCTGCTCAAAAATTCCGATGTCTTATCCACATTGAGATCATTAATTGAGATAATTAACATTTAAACATGCACCTCCAGGTAGTGTTGTTTGAGCGTCTAGTTTGGGTAATTGCTCACAGGTCTCTGCTTGAGAGTCGTGTGGAGGGAGCAAGGCTCAGCTCTGGGATCACATGCTGCCTTATGCTGACAAGCCTCAAACACTTATGTCAATGTCAGAGGCAGGAACTACAGTGGGAATGTAAGGAAAAGACAAAACAAAGGAAGAAAAAAAAATCCCAAACAATATGAAGGTACTTTTAATGTGACTTGCATATACAGTTTGTAACTGTGATAGGAACAGAGACAGAAGAATTGATCCTGTGACACTTGCTGCATTTAGCACGGTACTCGTTACTGTGAGCCATCAATAATTCCATGCATGATTTGCAATTATAAGCACCATGTTGCTGGTAAACATTTGTGGACCAGGTCAATAAATGCTAAGGCTCCAGGTTTCAATTAATATGAAATAAATACTTTAGACTTGCGACTCATCAGTTAATTCAAACCCTTATTCAAAACTAACCATTCTATAAATTAGAAAATACAGGATGCCTAGGAAATTGCTACCATGGCTCCTTAGAGAGCTCACAGAAAAGGCAGCGTCTTTCAGACACAGAAGGCATTTGAAAATGTTTGAAAAAGTAGACTCTGCTACTGTCTCCCAGGTGTTTCTTTTTGTTCATAGGACAGCAGAATAATTTAAGGATCCACAACAGAAAACTTGAGTCATGAATTGTACAGGCCAGATGAAAAAGAAGCCACTGTATTCCCAGAAACCTCTTGAATTACTGTAATTAACACCCAGTGTACCAGGTTTCTTTTGCAGATTTAATGATTGTCAGAGGCTACTACACCTTTTTCACATTGTATCTTTGTTCAGACGCCTATAATTTTATGTTGTTTTTCGTCTTCCCTTCTCCTCTTAGACCAAAAAACAGCTTAGGGATCTGATATCCTACCTCTCTTTATAGCTATTATAAAATAAGCAGCTCACTTCTGAATTCCTTACAAGTATAAAATGCATTGATTCAGTAACATTTCCTGAATATTGAGGCAAAAATGGAAAAACCTAATAATAGTGGAGTTGCACAATGATAACTTTCCCCAGCACAGGAATAGAACTTATTTTTTCTCAATGTAGTAAACACGAGGAAGGAATAAGAGCAAAGCTGCTTATCTCCACTTCTAAAGTCCTTCCACTTGCCTTCTTACCCATCAACTTTAATAATGTGAATAAGAATAATGGTTCCTGCCTCTTTTCAAGCAATAACACTGGTCTCAACTGCCCATTCATCCAATTTTTCAACTAGCACATTCAGTTTTCATCGTATTTTGAGACTTATCACTCAATAAAAGTCTGAAAAACACCACTCTGATGTCTAAAAGAACATTTATATTTGGATACATGCTTCACTGTGATTGTTCCTTGTCACCACCTGTAGCTTCTCTTGTCAGTACCCCATGGTCATCCAGTCTCTCTGCAGTATTCATCTCTTGTTTTATACTTAGGTCTAAAGGTCTTTGGGGCTGGGAACTGCCTCTAGTTTTATACGGCACCCTACAAATTAGAATGCCACAATGGAAATTAATTAATTCTACATGACTAGTAATAACAATCACAGATTCTGGGTTTACCACCTGGAACCTAATTCGTTCTCTCAGGACAACAGGAAGAAGGGAGGAATTCTATTAAGGAAGCAAACACAAAATCATCTCACACATTTGAATTGAACAATTGGATGAAACCAAATATGTACTTCAACCCATTTTCAAACCAAGCATTAGTGATTTTCTCAAATGCTGCCCCAAGAAAAGTAAAAAAGGACACTGAGCTGCTTTTTTTCTCTTTTCTTTACCTGAAAAAAATTTACTCATGGGTACAAAATTCATTATCCTAAAAGCAGGGCAATAATCAGGTTTCAAGACTTGTTATACTGGTGAAATTAGGAACAAATCTGGAAAGGGATACACAGTTAATGTGCTGAATTCCTATTGAAACAAAGATAGAAGTCAATAAGGCAGCTGGTGTGCCTATTGTGTATTTGTGAGGACTGCGACTGACATGCATATGTTGTATCACAAGAAAAAAGCAAAGCTCATGTTTTATATAATCTCAGTTTAACATCTGATGAACTTCATTCGGGAGGACAGGACTATAATCTCCCAGACCTGTAGCTTTAGTTCCAAGGGGAAAAAAAGAGTCAAGCTTTCATTATTTAGTTCTTGATCAAAAGAGGATACTAAAGCATGCTGGGCATTAACTTTGAAGAGGAAGTCTTCTCTCTAATTTGTTGATCCAGGAGGGATTGCACTTGGAAATATCAAGGCTAATCAGAGAACTGATAGCAAAAAAAGCAGCTCCTTCACCTTCCAAGAAATCCCATCATCCTTAAACCAGAGTTCTTTGAAAAATGCTAGTGGATTGGCTCAGTTCACTTTCATGTTTATATCCCTAAGTGATTTCAAATTAAATATATTCAGTATTTTTATCTAGTTGCTAACTCTGCTTTTTTTTTTTCCTTGCATGTTACCACCAATAGAAGTTTATTATAAGTTAGGCTGCCAGCTAGACCTTAGTATCATCTTTGCCACTGGATTAGATATTCTGTGGCTTCACAGCAAGACTTCAGGTGCTTTGCATTTGTATTTAATAATCTGAAAATATACAGCTGAGGATACTAGTTATGTTTTCAGCCTGTCGTACCTCACACAGTGAGAGCTACATAGTTAGGAATATCTCAGCAAGATAATTAATGCCAGCTAATGTTAATTAATGTGTCTGTACATACAATTGCTGTCAGGCATACCCCAAATGAAGTCATTAGAGTAAGCAGATATCATGGAATTCACCCAGGAAAATAAGGTTTTCATTAAATCTTAGCATTTTTGCATAGTGATAAACACAACTCTGACTGTGAGACTGGACCCTGGA